TGTTGATGTATAATGATGCCTTTTGTTGTTCAGTAGTTATTTTGCAGATTATAAATGAGTATTCTAGTAATCCTGTCACATGTAGAATTGTTGAGTAAATGTTAGAATTTGTTGTTTATGTTATATGTATGTTTATCAAAAAAAACAATTCTTCTTGTATTGACAAATTGGAAGATTACACAAACTGATATAAAAAGTAAGACTTCTCAATTTTAGAATATTTATTCACATTTTTTCAAATAGTCCTATCACAAAATCAAACAAAAAGTATTTATGAATTTCAAAAAAAAATCCCTTCCTACCTACCCAACTCCAAAAAGGGTCGGGAGACAGCAAACAAAGATTATTCTTTTAAAGTGGCCTGAGCACTCGCGTTTCCAAAATATTATTTCAGGAATGCTTTATTCGGAGCACCGTTATCTATGAAAGTACTTTCAGTTTAAACAGTGATTTTTTCCCTGCATTTTACAACCGAATAAAGGCTGTTTCCCCTAGCCCTAAATAGGTATATTTTCCCCAAAAAATGCTACTATTTTTCCCCTAAAATGCCCTTTGCACATTTTTCACTAGAACCATGACTTAACGGCAGCTGACTTATATCAGCTTAAAACAGAACACTGTCTCTACAGATAGCCCCTGCATGAATCATGGATGTTAAATTGAATTGAAATTGAATATTCTAAAATATGTGTGGGTAAACCATTCTCAGTTGTTAGAATTTGATTTTCCCCTTTTTTTATTTATTGCGCTATATTTTCCCCGTCAGAAAGCCACAGGATGTTTTGAAAATTGAAACAAGATTGCATTTGAGAAAAATGCTATGCCACCGCATTAATACAACACTAAATAGTAGTGTAGGAACAGATTTTTTTTTGTTTCTTTACAATTTTGAAGATTGTCAAAAAGCATAGATCCCTGACCTATCTTATTCTTGTTATCAGATAAGTGGCTAAATCTAATGTTAACTCAATAAAAGATCAGAGTAGGAATATATCAATGCACTCGAGTCTAGTGAATTTGGTGGTGAAGCCTATTTCACACAGCCTAAATTTCATGACTACATCAAAAGGACAACACAGTAAGACACTTTGTCAAAATCTAGGTCAGCTGAAATCAAAGTTCACTTTACATCTTAAATTGTGCACAGGGTTCAAATTTCATAGCTGTACATCAAAGGACAAGAAAGTAGGTCACATCATCAAAATCTAGGTCACCTGATATCAAAGTTCAATTTTACAACTGAAACTGTGCACAACTATGTCAAAATTTCATTGCTGTAAATCAAAGGACAAGAAAGTAGGTCACTGTCCCCTTGGGCAAGGCAAAATTTTTACCCAAGGGTTTAATTCAAAACAATCTTGATACAGGCCCACCAAAAAACATTTCAAGTCAAATATCTAAGCTTTAGCTTTCTCCCATTCAGAAAACATTTGTTTTATTTTCTGTTTTTACTATGTGTACATAATGAGAATCACTGCCCCCGGGCAGGGCCAATTTTGACACCAGGGGAAAAATTTGAACAACTTTAGTAGAGGACCTATAGATGATATTATATAGCAAACATCAAGCTCTATCCCTTGTTCCTTCAGACAAAAATTTTTTTTTTTTTTACTATGGTACATATGAAAATCAATGACCCCGGGGCGGAACCAATTTTGACCCCAGGGCTATAATTTGTACAATCTTGCTAGAGGTTCCTTACACAATGTTTCATGCAAAATATCTTAACTCTAGCCTTTGTAAATTGAGAGAAAATGATTTTTTTTAATTTTTTACTATATACATATAAGGAAAACCTATGGCCCCCGGGGCGGGGCTAATTTTGACACTAGAAGCAAAATTTGAACAACTTTGGTAGAGTTCCTATAGATGATATCATTTAACAAATATTAAAGCTCTAAGCCTTGTACCTTCAGACAATAAGATTTTTTACTATATATATATAATTATATTTAAAATCAATGACCCCTGGGGCGGGGGCAATTTTGACACCAGGGCTATAATTCAACAACAATCTTGCTAGAAGTTCACTTCACAATGTTTCATGCAAAATATCTAACCTCTAGCATTTGTCAATTGCTAGAAGAAATTTTTTAAAAGTTTTTACTATAAGTTTTTACTATATACATATAAGGAAAACCAATGACCCCCCGGGCGGGGCCGATTTTGACCCCAGGGCTATAATTTGAACAATCTTGGTAAGGGTCTACCAGACAATGCCTTATGCAAAATATCTAAGCTCTAGGCCTTTTGGGTCTTTACAAGAAGGTATTTTAAGTTTTTACTATATGTACATATAGTGAAAATCAATGACCCCCGGGGCCGGGCCAATTTTGACCCCAGGGCTATAATTTGAACAATCTTGGTAGAGGTCTACCAGACAATGCCTTATGCAAAATATCTAAGCTCTAGACCTTTTCAGTCTTTACAAGAAGGTATTTTAAGTTTTTACTATATGTATATATAGTGAAAATCAATGACCCCCGGGGCGGGGCCGATTTTGACCCCAGGGCTATAATTTGAACAATCTTGGTAGAGGTCTACCAGACAATGCCTTATGCAAAATATCTAAGCTCTAGGCCTTTTGGGTCTTTACAAGAAGATTTTTTAAATTTATTCTTTTAATTCTTTTTGGTTGCCATGGCAACCAGATATGCATGGAATGAAATTCTTTGAACAACTTTGGAACCCCTTCACCCAAGGATCAATCCTGCCAAGTTTGGTTGAAATTGGACTAGTGGTTTTTCACAAGAAGATTTTTTAAGTTCACTATATAATCTATATAACACACACACACACAAACAAACAAACAAACACACACACACACACACACAGGTGAATCGCTATATGCCACCGCATCGCAGATGCTGCGGTGGCATAAAAAAATCACTGTTAAACAATGGCAAAACAGACTGACTTACAGTTTATGGGTTGGGGGTGGTTTGAAAACGAGATGATGGCGAGCCTGTCTCGTTGACTGTAACTTAAGTGTGTACATCAACCCAGCAGTTCACAAAATCGAAATGTGACAGAACATTGCAGTCTGTCTGGTTAGATACAAATGGCTAGAACTACAGGAAGAACAAATGTTTTGTAACACTTGCATATTACTTTCAGTTTAGACAATGGCAAAACAGACTGACTTACAAAGTTTTGAAACGAAAACAAGATGTAATGTTTTGTAACACTTGCATATGGCCAAGAGTTTGACAAACCCATTAACGAATTTATTAACTTTCAAAACTCAACATTAATGCGTCATTAGGACTCTTAAAATCCACACAAAGAGCCTTCAAGTCCTGAACATGTGTTCTTATTTTGCAACCGCTAATAAAGCTGTGCACGATCAAAGGAATGAAGAGACTTCCAGTAAATTTAATCATTAAGTCAACCAGTTACATACCATGTACACAATGCAATCCGTAATTGCATGTCCGAATAAGTTAAACTCGAAATCAGATCTATTTTCAACAACACATGAATGTATTTTAGTACACATTATCAGTGTAAATGGCAACTATCAACAATTGATTTTACGATTTTATAGCAAACTAATCATGTTTTTTTAAAGTTTAAACCCTTGAATAGTGTCCAGTTTTAGCAAGTATTTTCATTGCAATATTGCAGTAGGCTGGAAAAATCAGCAATGGAGTTTGACTTCCGGTTTCACTTTATGGTGACTTTATGGTTTATACATAAGTTTAATTAACATTTATTTGCTAATAAAAGTCTGTTTTCAGATTTATTCCAATCACTTATTGTATTTCTACTGAAAAATTAACAATTATCATGGAGCATCAGTATTTGACAGTCAAATTCTGTTCTCAGTTTTTGGTATTAATTGAAAATTTTACAAATTTCAGCCGGCCAAAAAGTGTTTTTAAACGGTCATTTCGGCCGGCGGCCGGCTCTTATTGAAAACCCTGAGTATAAGGGGCATTACTCTGCCAAATATCATTGAACCATGACCGAATTCGAACTTGAACTGTGCATTCCTTTGATGTATCCATTTGTCAAATTTGAGTTGAATGTGTAATACCATTGGGGAGATAAAGAACGAAAACTGAAAATTTCATCAAGGGGTATAACTCTGTCAAAAATCCCCATGACCAAATTCGAACTTGACATGTATTGTCTTATGATATATCCATATGTCAGAATCAACAGTGGCCATTTACAGCACAATGACAACCTCCCTGCCAAATCTGAGGTTACTAAGCCAGTGCATTGCTAAGTTATGTATTCTACATGCTTCAAATGTCAAAATCAATACATTGCGGACAGGCATTCTTAAACTTTTGAGCAGACAAACTTATTATAGTAAAAATTCCTATGACCTTGACCTTCGACACAGTACACTGAAAATCAATAGGGGCAATCTATTAGTCATAAACAACCTCAATACCAAATATGAAGACTGTTGACCAAAGCATTCTTAAGCAATTGAGGGGAAAAGCTTTTTTAAGTCAAGGTCCCTGTGACCTTGACCCATGACCTCAAAATCAATAAGGGTCATCTAATTGTCATGATCAACCTCCATGCCAAATATGAAGACTGTAGGTCAAAGGAATCTTAAGTTATTGGGCGTACAAGCTTTTTTAGTCAAGGCCCCTGTAACCTAACTTTTGACCCAGTGACCTTAAAATCAATAGGGGTCATCTACTAATCATGACTAACCTCCATGCCAAATATGAAGACTGTAGGTCAATGTAATCTTAAGTTATTGGGCAGACAAGCTTTTTTAAGTCAAGGCCCCTGTGACCTTGACCTTTGACCCAGTGACCTCAAAATCAATAAGTGTAATCTACTAGTCATGACTAACCTTCGTGCCAAATATGAAGACTGGGTCAAAGGAATCTTAAGTTATTGGGCAGACAAGCTTTTTTTAGTCAAGGCCCCTGTGACGATGATGGCTGAATGACGGAAGGACGGACAGACGGAACAGGATAACACTATATGCCCCGGGCATTTTATGGCGGGGGCATAAAAAACTAATGTACCTTTGTAGACATCTTCTAATGTTTTCACTTCAACACCAGATTCCCTTAGCTGTTTTAAATACTCCTCAGCATCACTTCCTGCATCGTCTTTTTTCTTATATCGTTCAATAAGCTTTTTAACTTGTTGTCTGTCCTCTTTGGCAATGTTGTTTGAAAGATGATAAAGACAATTGATAAGATCAATCCACATTGTAAGAAAATCATCTGGATCTAGAGACTGCAACGCAAGGGTAGCATAGTTTACCCTATCACTTTTTAAGCGATTGATATACATGATTTCATCTTGACTAAGGTCATCATCACAGGTAAGCAGAAGAACAGATGCCAGAAGAAAAACATCCCAGTTCTTATAGTCTGAACAAGACTCTTGTGCGTAAAGGCATATGTAAAATTTCTCATCATTATTTCTGATCAGACTTTCCTTCTTTCTTTCAAGAAATTCTGACAGGTCCTGGTCACCCAGCTTTGCCTTCAGTATCCCGCACAACACGATACGCCCTCCATGAAACAGAAGTTTTATGTAACGAACAAATCTCTCTGGTGTAATTTTGAAATATTCCTGAAATTCTAGAATAAAATGAGAGATTTGATTAACCCTTAAATATTTCAAACACAAGAAGCGCCGCAATGCGACGAAAACCAGATTTTCAACAACCAAGTTTTGATGTGACAGCAATCAATAGGTCAAAGTGCACTGAAGTTATTGTGTAGAAGCTGAAAATTATACTGTAAGCAAATGACCTTGAACTTGCTCCCAGATATCCTAGTGGCCATCCAAAGCTGCCACTCAGCAAGTTTGGTGTCAAAAAATCAAAGCAAATTCAAGTTATTGAGCAGAAACCAGAATTTCTATTTTTAGTTACAGTGACCTTGACCTTGATCACAGACACCTGGGTAGCAATCCCAAGCTGCCTCTTGATATAAGCTATCCATATACCAAGTTTGGTGTCAATATGCCAAAGCAAACTCTAAAGACTTATTGAGCGGAAATTGAATTTCTATATTTAGTAACAGTGACCTTGACCTTTATCACAGACAACACGTGGGTAGCAATCCCAAGCTGCCTCTTGATATAAGCTACCTACACACCAAGTTTGGTGTCAATAGGCCAAAACAAACTCAAGTTATTGAGCGGAAACCAAAAGTTGACGCCCGCCCGCCTGCCCGCCCGCCAACTTTGGCATTACAATAACCCGTTTTCGTTGAAAACCTGGTTAAAAAGGAAAGACATTTCAAGTTTTAAGTACATGTACAAAGAAATGGTAGATGGCAATTTTATTATTATTTAATTCAACACCAAAATAATAGTAATACAGTACTGGACACGCGAAACCCGCACAATTCGCGTAGAACCCTCATGCTTTATAACGCGAGTGAATTCGCGGCAACTTGAGATAATTCCTGCGAAATCAACTCGCGGCGATTTTGCCGTGAACATTTGCCGTGATTTGCCGTGAATAATACATGTTACTTTGTATAATAAATGTATGTTGTACTCTATGAACTTGAGACCATTAGTATTAAAATGATAGACATGTACATGTATGAAAATTAATTAGTAGATCTACATGAAGTTGTATCAAGAAAATCTTGTAATTTTTTGTAATTAAATTATTTTATTGTCGACCAATCAACTTGCATCTTGCTACTCATCACCTACTCATCTCAAGCACCTGGCATTTTTTACTCGTGAAATTAAAAGTAAAGAAAGTCTCAATTTAAGTGATAAAACATTTACAATTTTCAACAATTATAATTAGCGTATTAGACGTAATAATTAGTTACACCTGTGAATCGGTAATAAATGTCGCACTGTATTGTTCTAAAAATAGAATATATGCGAAAGTAAACAACGGATTTTAATTACATCTGTATTATTATCAAAGTAACAATTGAACAATTTGTTATTGTGCGTTCTTTGATGTTACAAGTTCCAATTACATTTTGTAATTTTAATCTCGTTTTGTTGTTAACTAATTTTCATCCAGCACCTGATTGCTTTGTTTTCAATACAAAATTTATACGCTGTTCACTGTACATGTTCAATTGCTATTTATAAATATACATGACATTCACAAAAAATTTTCAAACTTTTTACTATATGTATATAGTGAAAATTAAAGACCCCCGGGCGGGACCAAGTAGTACATTTACTTCCTAATACAAATATTGCTGTAGATTCGCCGTAAATTACTGCGATACATCGCGGCGATTTTTCGTGAACCGCCATGAAATTTGGCAAACTTGCACGTGGCAATATTTTACCGCGTAAAGTCCCGTCGCGTCATAGACTACACTTGCGGCATAACGCGACTTTTGCGGGTTTCGCGTGTCCAGTACTGTACAATGGACAAAACAGAACAATTCTAAATACTAACCCTTTGATCTTCTACTCAATTCTTTAACCTTAAATATAAAAAAATTAACATTAATTTCAATGCCAACAAGAATTTGTAACAGAGTTACCAACGTCCCCCGCCCCGGGAGTTTTATATGTAGCATAAAATTGTGCTATTTCAAAAGATTGAGGTATGGACCTCAGGACATTCAGTCCAAAATTATGATCAATGCTAGATCTGCAAATGCAACAATAAATTTATTAAAGAAATAAAATGAAACACGGAATTTAAAAATCTATCATGTTAAGCTTTGACCTCTAAGTGTGAACTTGACCTTGGAGGTAGGGGAGCAGGTGTTGTGCATGATTATTATTGTGACTATTTGTGCCAAGTTATTTCAAAATCCCTTGAACTATGAAGAAGTTCTAGATTCAACACAAAATATACCCTATAACAGACTATGTTAATTTTTGACCTCTAAGTGTGACCTTGACCTTGGAGGTAGGGATGCAGGTGTTGCGCATGACACATCCTCTTATTATAGTGACTATTTGTGCGAAGTATTTTCACAATCCTTTGATCTATGAAAAATTATAGACCCGACACAAAATATACCCTGTAACAGACTATGTAAGTATTTGACCTCCAAGTGTGACCTTGACCTTGGAGGTAGGTGACCGGTTTTTGCGCATGACACATCATCTGATTATTGTTAACAATTATGGCAAGTATTTACAAAAGTCCTTCATAATAAGAAAGTTATGGACTGGACACGACATATACCCTCAAATAGACAATGTTGACCTTGAATGAACAAGTACGACCTTGACCCTGAAGGTACGGGTCTGGTTGTTGCGCATGACACATCGTCTTATTATAACAAACATTTGTGCCAAGTTATCTCAAATTCCTTTGATAAATGACAAAGTTATGGACCGGACACGAAATATACCCTGTAACAGACTATGTTAATATTTGACCTCCAAGTGTGACCTTGACGTTGAAGGTAGGCAACTGGTTTTTGCGCATGACACATCGTCTGATTATTATGAACAATTATGGCAAGTATTTACAAAAACCCTTCATAAGATAAGAAAGTTATGGACCGGACATGAAATATACCCTGTAACAGAATATATTAATATTTGACCTCCAAGTGTGACCTTGACCTTGAAGGTAGGTGACTGGTTTTTGCGCATGACACATCGTCTGATTATTGTGAACAATTATGGCAAGTATTTACAAAATCCCTTCATAGATAAGAAAGTTATGGACCGGACACGACATATACCCTCAAATAGGCAATTTTGACCTTGAATGAGCAAGTGTGACCTTGACCCTGGAGGTAGGGGTCTGGTTGTTGCGCATGACACATCGTCTTATTATAATAAACATTTGTGCCAAGTTATTTCAAATTCCTTTCATAAATGACAAAGTTATGGACCGGACACGAAAGTGTGACGGACGTACAGACGGACGGACGTACAGACGGGAGAGACAAAGTGAGGTTTGCCGACCATATCATTATGGGGTCATCAGTTTTTTTGTTCAACATGACTATGTGAGGTTTACATTAGATGTACAGCCAGAGGTGACGTTGTGAGGAACAGATGGGACGGGGGCATTGTGAGGTTTGCCAATCATTCTTTAACAAGTTACATTGTTACAAAACCAGGTTTTCATTTCTCATGGCTTGTCTAAGGGCATGTTTGTTCTTCGCAAGGATCCATATTTGTATTCTTACATTTAAACACAAAATTGAGTGAAAATTGATTTTCTTCTTTTTTTAATTTCAACAATCATCTTGACCCAGTTGACCTTAAACACAACTTGGTGCTTTAGTTTTATGAGAGGATGTAATATATTGACTTTCATTAACATTGTTCAATCCAAAGTTAATGACCGAAAACTGAATACCTTATTTCATTCTAAGAAATAGTCACCTTGATATTGACCCGACTTATCCCAATATATGTTTAAATATAATATACCAAATTGATCAAGTCATTTTTGATATTGGATTTTCCGTTGGGAAAACCTGGTTAGAAAGTGAGGACAATGCCAATTACCTAGGCAAGTTCTATGTAGCATCTTTATTTTTGACCATTTACTAAAACATGAAACACATTAATCTTTAAACATCTTTATTCAGTTATCTTTCAGCAACAGCTGTACAGTTACTATTTACTTGAATTCACATTGAAAACATTTACAAAAGTTGTGCTAAGGTGTCAGTTTGGTTACTTCTACACTCATACATGGTATAATCACACCTGGCTAACTAAAAATCTAGACTCAGCTCATTTTTTTTAAAAATTCAGTGTTTACAAAGCATAAGTAAGAAAGACATTTTAAGATGAATTTTCTTTACGGATTGTGAATATAAAATTCTATGTTGCTAAAATGTGAATAAATGTTATTGAAGCAGTTTCTATTCAAGATTTTTTAAGGAAATACCATACTAAATTCATAAATACACTCACTATCTGACAGATAATTGAGAAAGAAAATATATACATGTATTCAAAATGAGTGCATCATTTTTGATTGGAAAAGCACAACCATCAAACTTAATGGGAAAAAGCAAACTAATACTCTAACAAGAAATCCTAAATTTGTTTGCCAAAAGCATTTTAGTTATTTATCTACCTTATAGGAATGGGCAATTTTTAGGTCATGTTACCATTTTCCAAAATGTGTTTAGAAAAAAATAACTTTTGTTTGAAGGGCCAAGACAGTGTGAATATTACTCTCTAAATCTGTTTATGGTTTCACCATTAAATTTAAGAACAAGATCTGATGGGAGGACAGTGTGATCGACTATACTTAGTGTTTGATAGTATAATACAAAAAGTCCTAAAATGGGCATAAATCACTAAAAATGCATGACAGAAATATGGTTCTTGGTATGTGACCTCATATTATCCCCCATACAGATATTTGAAAACTGAACATTGCGTCAAACACACGCTAAAAATTATATAAGCATCTTAAGTACCAGACATGGGGTAATCGTAATCGGTAATTTAATTTAATTTAATCGATTACAATTTTTTGAGTAATCACAGTAATCAGTAATCATAATTTTTTTCCTGTAATTTAATCATAATTTTACTTAATTACATGACCAATTAATCAGTAATCACAATGATTACATGTATGATTACAATACATGTTAAGCTAAAAAAAATTGCTGAACAAACATACATATAAAGGTTAACAAGAGGGCCATGATGGCCCTGAGGTCGCTCACCTGTATATAGGCCCCCCAACCCCCCCCCCCCCCCCCCCCCCCCAACGTTGCAGAGCCAATTTAACCCAGAGCTTTTATTTGCACAAACTTGGTAGACACCCATAAGAAGATGTTTCATGCTAAACATTTAAGCTCTAGCTCATTGGGCTTTTTAAAAGAAGATTTTTTTAAAGTTTTTACTATACACATATAGTTAAAAACAATGACACCCCTGGGGCAGGGCCAGTTTTGACCCCAGGGCTTTTATTTGAACAAACTTTGTAGACACTTACTAGAAGATGTTTCATGCTTAATATCTAAACTCTAGCTATTTGGGTTTTTTCAAAGAAGATTTAAAGTTTTTGCTAAACACATATAAAGAAAATCAATGACCCTCGGGCGGGGCCAATTTTGACCCCTGGGCTTGTATTTGAACAAACTTGGTAGACACCTATTAGAACATGTTTGATGCTCAATATCTTAGCCATAGCTCTTTGAGTTCTTTAAAAGAAGATTTTTTAAGTTTTTACTATATGCATATAGGGAAAATCAATGACCCCCCGGGGCGGGGCCAATTTTCACCCCAGGGCTTTTATTTGAACAAACTTGGTAGACACCCATTAGAACATGTTTCATGCTAAATATCTTAGCTCTAGCTCTTTGGGTTCTTTAAAAGAAGATTTTTTAAGTTTTTACTATATGCATAAAGGGAAAATCAATGACCCCCCGGGGCGGGGCCAATTTTGACCCCAGGGCTTTTATTTGAACAAACTTGGTAGACACACACTAGAAGATGTTTCATGCCAAATATCTAAGCTCTGGCTCTTTGAGTTCTTTAAAAGAAGATTTTTAAATTTTAACTATATGCATATAGGGAAAATCAATGACCCCCGGGGCGGGGCCAATTTTCACCCTAGGGCTTTTATTTGAACAAACTTGGTAGTCACCCATTAGAACATGTTTCATGCTAAATATCTTAGCTCTAGCTCTTTGGGTTCTTTAAAAGAAGATTTTTTAAGTTTTTACTATATGCATATAGGGAAAATCAATGACCCCCCGGGGCGGGGCCAATTTTGACCCCAGGGCTTTTATTTGAACAAACTTGGTAGACACTCACTAGAAGATGTTTCATGCCAAATATCTAAGCTCTAGCTCTTTGAGTTCTTTAAAAGAAGATTTTTTAAGTTTTTACTATATGCATATAGGGAAAATCAATGACCCCCGGGGCGGGGCCAATTTTCACCCCAGGGCTTTTATTTGAACAAACTTGGTAGACACCCATTAGAACATGTTTCATGCTAAATATCTTAGCTCTAGCTCTTTGGGTTCTTTAAAAGAAGATTTTTTTAAGTTTTTACTATATGCATATAGGGAAAATCAATGACCCCCCGGGGCGGGGCCAATTTTGACCCCAGGGCTTTTATTTGAACAAACTTGGTAGACACTCACTAGAAGATGTTTCATGCTCAATATCTAAGCTCTAGCTCTTATGGTTTTTTAAAAGAAGATATTTAAAGTTTTTTCTTTCGGTTGCCATGGCAACCAGAGTTTTGCATGGAATTAAATTCTTTGAACAATTTTTAAAGGTGACCACCAAAGGAACATTCCTGTGAAGTTTGGATGAAATTGGCTTAGTGGTTTATGAGGAGATGTCATTTAAAGTAAAAGTTTACGGACGGACGGATGGACGACGGACGGACGACGGACGCCGGACGAAAAGCGACCACAAAAGCTCACCCTGTCACTTTGTGACAGGTGAGCTAAAAAGTACCAGTGTCAATGCCTACTAATTGTCTTACGTATCACAGTCACCCAGGTCAGATTTGATGACACCTGTGTTTTAATAAGGTGATGAGAAGCTGTGAAATTATAACAATGGCCTGGATCGGTATATTATCACTTATTGAGAAGACTTTACAGGTTCAGTAAAGAGCAAGTATAAGCTGCAATTACTGACAAAAGTGAGATATGGTTATATTTTCTGTTACATTTTGGTATTGTTAAGTCCATGTAGAAGCAAAAAGTACAAAAAGATTTTCATCATATCGAAAAGAAAGCAATACACAAGCATGGCAGGAAATATGCCTGCTGTTTTTAAATACTTCATATTGCCAGAAAAAGTTCCTGATGATGGCAATGTGAGAGCTAAATGCACACTTTGCGTTTAATATATATCATGTAATCAGTAATCATAAATGTAATCTGATTACTCCTGTCAGTAATCAGTAATTTAATCAATTACAATGTCAAAATGCCAGTAAACAAATAAACAATGGAACATTTTCAAGATACAACTTGATAAATGAAAACAGTATTTGTTGTGGTGTTGTAATAAATAATCATCCTGTCAATAATTCCCGCCCCCCCCCCCCCCCTCACCCCCTTATAATTATCAGGTCACTAATTGTCTCTCCTCCATATAATCATCCTGTCACTAATTTTTTCCCCTCTGAATTATCAGGTCACTACTAGTCTCTCCTCTACATAATAATCATGTGACTAATCCCCCTCCCCTTAATCATGTCAGTAGTTGAATTATCAAATCATTAATTATTATTTTATAGTCTCCTCTCCTTATAATCATCATTTCACTTATTTTCTTTCCTCATCTTAATCATCATATTACTTAACTTCTTTTTTATTGTATCTCGTTTTCTTTTCCAAATCACTCCACCTTTATCTTTACTTTTCTTCATTACTTTCTCAATCCTTTTCTGGCCTGGAAGAGTATTGGTTCTGAAATCTTCTTCAAACAAATTGTGCAGTTCTGCTACTTCCTCATTTGACCATTTCTGACGAGTACTGTTTTGAGGCTTTTTCCTTTTTGGCCTACAATTCAGTTCTTCCTCATCAGAACTTTCCTCCTGATTAAGTTCAAGGACTTCATCGTCACTGTCATCCATTCTGCTTGCCTCCATAAGCGTGAGAACCTCGTGTGTTACATTTGATTGCTCTGGTTTCTCAAGTGATGCTTCTGCCTCAGGCCTCGCCAACGATGTTCCTTGCCCTTCGTCATCCTGGAATATATCTGAAAAGACAAAATTACTTCATTTTTTAACAAGAGCTGTCACAAGAGACAGCGAAGCTCGACTAATAAAATATTGGACGCAGTAAGGAGGACAAAACTATGAAAGAAAAATCAATTATGTATAATTATGTATTAAGTTATAGTAAAAAAATAACATTTGTTAACATAAATTCCAAGAACAAGGGGAATAATTCTAGAAATAGTCATGCTAGAGTTATGAACTTTGTCACACAACATGTGTGTAATGATAAGAAATATATATTTAAAGTAGATACCTTAAAAAGTAAAGAAGTTATAATATTTCTTAAAAAAAAAGCCTAAGTTCAAAGAGATATCAATCTGTCAATATTGCTTCAAGAGTTATGAACATTGTCACATAAAATGAAATTGATGATAAGGAATAAGTATTTGAAGTTTGAGTTAGATACCTTTAAAACTAAAAAAGTTAGAGTAAAAAATAACATTTTTTCTAGTAAAAAATCTAAGTTTATGGGGAGATAATTCTTGCAATATTGATGCTAGAGTCCTGAACCTTGTCACATAACATGTGGATGATGATAAGGCACATATATTTGAAGTATGAGGTTGATCCCTTAAGAAATAAAAAAGTTTCAGTAAAAAATAGTTTTTTTTTAAAGAAAAATTCTAAGTTCAAGGGGAGATAAATCTGAAAAAATTGGTGCTAGAGTTATGAACCTTGTAACGTAATATGGGGATGATAAAAAGGTACATATATTTGAAGTATGAGGTTGATCCCTTAAGAAATAAAAAAGTTACAGTAAAAAATAGTATTTTTTAAGAAATTCTAAGTTCAAGGGGAGATAAATCTGAAAATATTGGTGCTAGAGTTATGAACCTTGTCACATAAGATGGGGATGATGATGAGGTACATATATTTGAAGTATGAGATTGATCCCTTAAGATATAAAGAAGTTACAGTAAAAAATAGTATTTTTTAAGGAAAATTTTAAGTTCAAGGGGAGATAAATCTGAAAATATTGGTGCTAGAGTTATGAACCTTATCACATAAGATGTGGTTGATGATACGGAACATATATTTGAAGTTTGAAGTTGATACCTAAAGAAATGACAACAAAGTTATAGGGAAAAATATTTTACTGCACCAAAACTTTAATCTGAAATCTGGATGCGGACGCCGACGCGAGTAGGACAGCTCTCCATATACTTGGTATAGTCAAGCTTAAAATTAAAGCACCTAGTAGGAATGGTAAATTCTATACACCCCCCCCCCCTCCAAAAAAATTAAGGGACCCCTGAGGCAGGCCAGTACTGACCCTAGAGATTTTATTTAATAGGTCTTCTGGCGGATGCTACACACCAATAATCTAAGCTCTGGTGGTTTCTGATAAGAAGGATTTTTAAAAAGTCTTTTCTGTCTTGTTGCCATGGTAACCATAGTTCTGGATGGAATGGAATACTTTGTGCAACTTTGTTAACGTCACACACAAGAAACATCCCTGTAAAGTTCCATCATGATCTGCCTTTCAGAGATGATGTTTAAAAAATGTGACCAGTCAATAAACCAAAAGTGATCTTAAAAGTTTAACCTGAGCAAATGCTTACATGAGTAAACTACCATGTCTTTTCTACACTGCTTCCCGTAGGATGCATGAGCTTTAGTAGTCTTGAATATGCAGTGTCATGTTTCATTCAAAATAAGCTTTTTTGAATCTTTTAGAAAACAATGTTGGCAATCAAGACATTTTTTGCCTATTTCAAAATTAAAATTAAGACAGCAGGAGTGACCGCAATATTTCTCCCCAATAAAATCTTCCTACCAATTAAAGTTCAAATATATATCTAGATATGTTCCAGGCAAGAAATATGGACAATTTTAACTTGTTAACTAATAGACAGACTTTTGTCTCATTTCCTTGGGTTTACAAGGTTTCACCAGAAGGCCTACCTTCAATCTGTATGTCTTGAAGTCTTTTCCCTCTGTATTTTGAAACCAATCCGAGATCCTGTATCAGAAGGATTTTAGCAACATCAACACGCTCTAGCACATCAGATGTCTGCCGGTAATGAATTCTGTGAACATTCATGGTATGCCCCAAGTGATCCATGACCCACTGTCTTTCACCTTCTGTGGTATCCAAAACCTGAAGTCAGTCAAATAAATGGGCTTTTCAAACAATTGCAAAAGGAGAGAATATATATAACAAAATATTGCCTATGGTACTAATTCAACTCGATATTGGTTACCATATTTCATATAGAATATGTTTACATAAAAAAGCGAGTTTTATTTGTATACATGTATTACCAATGAGTGAATGTAAATAAAATACCAAATAATATACATATTCCAGATCAATTAAACTGCACTTTGTCAATTTGAAATACGTCTATTTTGTGACCAAAATCACCATGAAATTTAAGAATTGAAACCAACTGAAAACCTATGCACTTGTGAGAATAAAAAGAACAATTTGAAAAGAAATTTAGAAAATATTCTATAAAGTTTATAAACCAGACCTTGTCAATGGTGCCAACATCTTCATCTGATACTTCGGCCACCTGGTTGGACTTATCTCCCGGGTCAATGGTGCCAACATCTTCATCTGATACTTCGACATCCTTGTAAGACTTATCTTCCAGGTCAATGGTGCCAACATCTTCATCTGATACTTCGGCCTCCTGGTTGGACTTAATTCCAAGGTCAATAGTGCCAAATTCATCTTCATCTGATACTTCGGCCTCCTGGTTGGACTTATCTCCGGGGTCAATGGTGCCATCTTCATCTGATACTTCGGCCTCTTGGTTGGACTTAATTCCCGGGTCAGTTGTAACAACGTCATCCACACTTGATACTTCGGCCTCCTGGTTAGACTTATCTCCCTGGTCAATGGTGCCAACATCATCATCATCTGATACTTCAACCCCCTGGTTGATCTTCTCAAGTGCCCATTCTATGTCCTCAAAGAACAACGCTAATGTGTTGGGCTTCCTTTTTAGGCTCTCTGAAAAAAGAATGTCAACAGTATACATAAGCATTCTCTAGTACACTGTTAATACATATTTAAGTACTAATACAACAAGAGTTCTAATCAAATTATCAAGTATCTAAAATCTTAATTTGTTACTTGAAAATGCATGGGCCAACACAAACTATTTTGTCAGCAATTTAATAGTAAACTATTCCTAAAATCAGTGTGCACAAACCTTAAACATTTGAAAATAAACAAAAGTTAGATGAAACATTAATGCTTGTCTTAATTTAAGCTTTTCTGTCATGGTAAGTCTATATGCATTACAGTGTATGAAAAAATTATTAAGGTACTGCTATACACTGTTGTTTCGAACTTGTCTGGACTGGGAAATATCATTTGAAACAAAGGGATTAATCCGATATCAATTCAACAATTTATTAAAAATAATAAAACAAATCTCTGGGACCGAAAAAATAATTCGAAATTATGATTAATTTGGTTAATAGATGTTCGAAACATCAGTGTTTATCCAAATGACAAAGCTAACGTAACAAACAACTGTAAGATGCTGAAGACAGCACACCAAAGAAAAATAACAACAATAGTTTTTAAGTTTGATTTTCTTTCGACTCCATAACACACATTGTCATGAAACCTCAACAGTTAGGAAACCTCTCAAGATGATAAACAAATTCACCCCAGAAAAAAAAACAGTAGTTTTAATTTTTGATTTTTTATCTACCCCATTACATGCGTGGACATCAAACCTCATAGGCTATTGACATTAAAACTCTCAAGAACATGGACAAAGTAACCCCAGAAAAAACTTAATGAGCTTTGGACACCAAACCTTTCAAGAACATGAACAAAGTAACTCCAGAAAAAACGTAATGAGCTATGGACATCAAACCTCTCAAGAACATGGACAAAGTCGCTAATAAAAAAAGTTGTTTTTATGTTTGATTTTCTTTCTACCCCATAAAATGCATGGACTTGAAACCTAATGGGCTATGGACATCAAACCTCTCAAGAACATGGACAAAGTAACCCCTGAAAAAACATAATGAGCTCTGGACATCAAACCTTTCAAGAACATGGACAAAGTAACCCCAGAAAAAACATAATGAGCTCTGGACACTAAACCTCTCAAGAACATGGACAAAGTAACCCCAGAAAAAACTTAATGAGCTCTGGACATCAAACCTTTCAAGAACATGAACAAAGTAACTCCAGAAAAAACCTAATGAGCTATGGACATCAAACCTCTCAAGAACATGGACAAAGTCGCTAATAAAAACAGTTGTTTTTATGTTTGATTTTCTTTCTACCCCATAAAATGCATGGACATGAAACCTAATGAGCAATGGACATCAAACCTCTCAAGAACATGGACAAAGTCGCTAATAAAAACAGTTGTTTTTATGTTTGATTTTCTTTCTACCCCATAAAATGCATGGACATGAAACCTAATGGGCTATGGACATCAAACCTCTCAAGAACATGGACAAAGTAACCCCAGAAAAAACATAATGAGCTCTGGACATCAAACCTTTCAAGAACATGGACAAAGTAACCCCTGAAAAACATAATGAGCTCTGGACATCAAAGCTCTCAAGAACATGGACAAAGTAACCCCATAAAAAACTAAATGAGCTTTGGACATCAAACCTCTCAAGAACATGGACAAAGTAACCCCAGAAAAAACATAATGAGCTCTGGACATCAAACCTTTCAAGAACATGGACAAAGTAACCCCTGAAAAACATAATGAGCTCTGGACATCAAAGCTCTCAAGAACATGGACAAAGTAACCCCATAAAAAACTAAATGAGCTTTGGACATCAAACCTTTCAAGAACATGGACAAAGTAACCCCATAAAAAACTTAATGAGCTTTGGACATCAAACCTTTCAAGAACATGGACAAAGTAACCCCAGAAAAAACGTAATGAGCTATGGACATGAAACCTTTCAAGAACATGGACAAAGTCAAAGTCGCCTATAAAAACAGTTGTTTTTATGTTTGATTTTCTTTCTACCCCATAAAATGCATGGACATGAAACCTAATGAGCAATGGACATCAAACCTCTCAAGAACATGGACAAAGTCCTAATAAAAACAGTTGTTTTTATGTTTGATTTTCTTTCTACCCCATAAAATGCATGGACATGAAACGTATTGAGCTATGGACATCAAACCTCTCAAGAACAGGACAAAGTCGCTAATAAAAACAGTTGTTTTTATGTTTCATTTTCTTTCTGAAAATGGACTAGTGGTTTTTCACAAGAAGATTTTTAAGTTCACTATATAATCTATTATAACACACACACACACACACACACACACACACACACACACACAACACACACAGGTGAATCGCTATATGCCACCGCATAGCAGATGCTGCGGTGGCATAAAAACAGTTGTTATTTGATTTTCTTTCCACCACATAACAAGCATGGACATCTAATGAGCTTGTAACAAGTGTCCGAAAGTAAAGAGCTTTCAAAATCTCAAATAATTCAAACATCAGTTTCTTTAACCCACTTTTATGAGCTCATGGAGTCCGTGGATGACAGTCATGCTTATTAATAGTTTCGACACAATGAGAAAAAAACAAGGCAAAATTTGCGGGGCCAAACATTTTGAACAAATTCATTTTTTCTGTTATAACTTTACATGCATAGATAGCTATATTTAGCAGTTTCTCATATTTACATGAGTATGTGGCATGGCTTAAATTAGTTTAAATGTAAGATGTAAACAATTCTGATCTACATGTAAATGAAACAGGCTGGCATCTTTGAATGATAAATTTGTAGATCTATACTCAAAAGCTATAAAGTAAGTTTGGTCATGTCACTTAACCTGTTTATAAGCCCTTACCTTGATAATTCATTCAAAATCTGGCCTTCCATATAACCATTCATTTCCATAAAAGTGGTCCCACAGCCGCAAAAAATTCATTAAATTTACATAGATTTTAAGCAAAAGCACTAAACCAAAAATCAACAATATCAAAACAATGTTTTGTACAACTATATCTACAATGTCAAGAGCTTCCATTTTCTACAAAATCTCACAAGCATGTGAATGTTAAAATAAAATGGCTGAACTTCCTGTTCCTAAAGAATCATGGGAAATGTCCATAGAATTGTGGGGTTTTTTTTAAATAATTTCACTCTAATTATACATAATTATGTTGAAGGTTGTGTTTAACTGTGGACAGATGTACTTTCAGGTACCTATGTCAGATGAAAAGTAAACTCCATGTTTCCATATCAGGATCAGCGTCGGGAAGATTTCAATGCCAACGCCCTTTCAGGTACTTACATAAGATGAAAAACAGAATGTTAAAATGCTATTTCAAGTCTCAAATCCATCAAACGTAGCTTACTATTTTACTTTACTTTTAATTTTGTCATGGAGTCCACATCCAATGGGCTTCTAACTTAAGTTCAAAAGTTTAAAAGTTTAAGTTGCTTATGAAAAACAGTTGTTATTAATGTTTGATTTTTTTCTACCCCATAAAATGCATGGATATAAAAACTTAATGAGCTATGGACATCAAACCTCTGAATAACACGGACAAAGTTGCTTATGAAAAACAGTTGTTATTATTGTTTGATTTTTTTCTACCCCATAAAATGCATGGATATAAAAACTTAATGAGCTATGGACATCAAACCTCTGAATAACACGGACAAAGTTGCTTATGAAAAACAGTTGTTATTATTGTTTGATTTTTTTCTACCCCATAAAATGCATGGATATAAAACCTTAATGAGCTATGGACATCAAACATCTCAAATACATGGATAAAGTAACCCCAGAAAAACAGAAGTCCTTATGTTAACTTAGATTTTCTTCTACCCCATTACATGCATGGACATGAAACCTCATACGCTATGGACATCAAACCTCTCAAGAACACGGACACAAATGGAAAACAGTAACTGTGGTTTTTATGTTTGATTTTCTGTCTACCCCACAAATAGCATGGACATAAAACCTTTATGAGTTATGGACATCAAACCTCTCATGAACACGGACAAAGTCGCAGAATGAAAACAGTTACTGTTGTTTTTATGTTTGAATTTCTGTCTACCCCATAAAATGCAAGGACATGAAACTTTAATGAACTATGGACATCAAACCTCTCAAGAACATGGATGAAGTAACCCCAGAAAAAAACAGGAGTCCTTATGTTAACTTAGATTTTTTTCTACCCAATTACATGCATGGACATGAAACCTCATACGCTATGGACATCAAACCTCTCAAGAACACGGACACAAATGGAAAACAGTAACTGTGGTTTTTATGTTTGATTTTCTGTCTACCCCACAAATAGCATGGACATAAAACCTTTATGAGTTATGGACATCAAACCTCTCATGAACACGGACAAAGTCGCAGAATGAAAACAGTTACTGTTGTTTTTATGTTTGATTTTCTGTCTACCCCACAAATAGCATGGACATAAAACCTTAATGAGCTATGGACATCAAACCTCTCATGAACACGGACAAAGTTGCAGAATGAAAACAGTTACTATTATTATTATGTTTGATTTTCTTTCTACCCCATAAAATGCATGGACATGAAACTTTAAGGAACTATGGACATCAAACCTCTCAAGAACATGGATAAAGTAACCTCAGAAAAAAACAGAAGTTCTCATGTTAACTTAGATTTTCTTCTACCCCATTACATGCATAGACATGAAACCTCATAAGCTATGGACATCAAACCTCTCAAGAACAGGGACGCAAATGGAAAACAGTAACTGTTGCAAATTTAAAGCCAGAGACATCTATAAAAAGTGATTATACTTTGAATAAAATCACTGTTAAAAGTTCAGATGCACATCATTATATCACTGAGGCTATTCCCTTGAGATATATTTTTTTCGCATCTGAACTCTGAATAGTAATTCTAATAGTAATACATGATAAAATCACAGTTATCACAGAGTTATGAACCTTGTCACACAACATGTGTGTAATGATAAGAAATATATATTTGAAGTCTGAAGTAGATACCTTAAAAAGTAAAGAAGTTATAATATTTCTTAATGAAAATCCTAATTCAAAGACAGATAAACCGTCTTGACAAAAAACTTTAAAAAGCACAGGACATTCGGGCCAGTAAAATTTCAATCTTACTGGACCTGGTGATTTTTAGCCAGACCAAATACATAGATAGGTAATAAATTGATGGGTAAAGGAAAACACTTTATCATGCTTTCCTTGATAATTTTGAAAGAAGCATAATACTTCTTGTATTCTGGGCCATATGTTGACAGCTTTGAAAAATCTATATTTGGTCCAAATGTTTAGGCAAAATTGACTAGCATTGAGCATGAACAACGCAATTTGCTTCAAACAAATCACTTTCACACAATATTTACTTAACTCAATAATCACAAAATCATAGCTAAATAATGACCATAAGTTTTAATAAACAATGGTTTAATTTCCGTAACTGTACGATGCGGTACGGAAACTATTCAAGAAAAAAATATGGCGGCCTCCATTACTCAATACAATTAAGACATCTCTTGCTGTGTTTTGAACAATTAGGACAGAATTAATGGGTAAAAATATCAATCTTTTAGAGAGCCCTGCTTCATTATTTTGATGAATTTTTCTTATAATATTTTTTCATGGCCAAAAATCTACTGGCCCGTTGGACCACCAACCTTGCAATTATCACCGGACCAATGCTAAATTTAGTGGCCTCGGACTGGCGTTAATTTCGAAGACTGGATAAATCTGTAAAAATTGCTTCAAGAGTTACGAACATTGTCGCATTAAATGTAATTGATGATAAGGAATAAGTATTTGAAGTTTGAGGTAGATACCTTCAAAACCAAAGAAGTTATAGTAAAAAATAACATTTTTCAAGTAAAAAAGTTTACGGGGAGATAATTCTTGCAATATTAGTGCTAGAGTTATGAACCTTGTCACATAAGATGTGGATGATGACAAGGTACATATATTTGAAGTATGAAGTTGATCCCTTTAGAAATAAACAAGTATCAGTAAAAAATAATATTTTTTAAGGAAAATTCTAAGTTTAAGGGGAGATAAATCTGAAAATACTGGTGCTAGAGTTATGAACCTTGTGGCATAAGAAGGGGATGATGATAAGGTACATATATTTTAAGTATGATGTTGATCCTTTAAGAAATAAAGAAGTAACAGTAAAAAATAGTATATTTTGAGGAAAATTCTAAGTTCAAGGGGAGATCAATCTGAAAATATTGTTGCTAGATTTATGAACCTTGTCACATAAAATGGGGATGATAATAAGGTACATATATTTGAAGTATGAGGTTGATCCCTTAAAAAAAAGAAGTAACAGTAAAAAAAAGTATTTTTCTTGGAAAATTCTAAGTTCAAGGGGAGATAAATCTGAAAATATTTGTGCTAGAGTTATGAACCTTGTCACATAAGATGTGGTTGATGATAAGGAACATATATATGAAGTTTGAAGTTGATATCTTGAGAAATGACAAAGTTATAGTGAAAAATATTTTACTGCACCAAAACTTTAATCTGAAATCTGGACGCGGACTCAGACGCCGGGGCGAGTAGGAAAGCTTTCCATATACTTCTTATAGTCGAGCTAAAAAGTATGACCCACTAATTTCATAGAAATACCATAAATTGAATTTCAAAACATTTTATTATGAAAGTGTATTTTTAAACAAATTTAGCTTTTTCAATCTGAAAGATTATTTTTGGCATGTCTCGGTCCGAAAGAGATTTTAGAATTTAAGAAGTACTGGTAATTACATACATCCAAATATCTGTGTTGAATTTGTATAAAAAGCTTGTACAACCTAACTGATGATTGCCAGGATCAATGCTTATCCAGATCTCAATGTCATGAAAGTTGCAAAAAGAAATCACATCTACAAGTGATTCTTCACTGTAAATCCTGAATCCGAAATACTCTTTGTGTGTCTCATTAATTGGAAGTATTTTTGACATGAAAGAAACACACTTTACATCATTATAAAGTAAATGTCCCATAACCAATTTTAAATAAAACACACGTGGTTCTGCAGTAATGAATAGTTCGACAAAAGGCACAGTTGTCGCCATTTTTTCCTCACTGTAAATCATGCGACCAAAGTTGGAAAAAACGTGTACATCTTTGATAAACAAAAAATATAGCAGAAAATATTCCTATCAAAACGACAACAATTAAAATCAAAATTGTCAAAATCGCAGAATTCACACGTGTCTATGTCATGATCGATCGTGTTCCTTTCGTCAAGCCTTTTCCTGCGAAAAAAAAAACCCGGATGATTATTTATTACAACACCACAACGTCTTCATAAAAATCTAACCCTACAAGTTCACAATCAAACAAAATCAGTGGTAATTTACCTGTCATGTCGTATTTTCATTTGATGTACAGAGGCCTGATGAACACAATCCGCCATATTTTTGAACTACGAAGTGCGCATGCGTGCGCATGTGCAAACCAGCGCGGTTATTCTCCGGAATTTTCCGGAATCACCGAAAAGCTACGAGTTTGTAGGAGTTACGCCCCTTCCAAAATTAAACAATTTTACGGTCGTGTCCGAAAAGGAAGTCCATATGCACAATAAAGGACAAAGTTGCGGGGTTGTTTTAAAATTGATGCATGACCTCAGAAAGGCATAATAAACTGAAAATCATAAGATGCTTGTGGGGTTAACCCCACATGCGTCTTTTAACCCCACAGTCATCAAATGGACAGAAAAATAACAGCACAATCCCTTCCGCTAGGAGCGGACAGACGGACAGACGGACGGAGCCTATTTCTATATCCCCCTTTTTTCTTCGAAAAGGCGGGGGACAGTAATTATTTATAAACAAATAAAATACTGAGAAATATTGATGAAATAATTTTTTTCACACTGAGCAGAGAAACATATTTTCTGTATTTTGACTGGTGTTTTGCGGGACTAATTATATATATTCCATGTCTAATTTTATCAGACAATATTGATCTAATATACAATATTTTTAAATTTAGGTGAATTGTCAAACTGAGGAACATCAGCGATGTCTGCGACCAAAACCCTTTTTGCACAGATAAAATTTACTTCAGCGACTATCGTAAGAAAAGTCATCATTGACAATCGCACGACAGGTCATAAGCAAACGTAGGATGACCTCAAGATTGTGTAGGATTACTTACAACTACCCGTGACCTGTCATGCGATCACCTACAACTTGTCCTACGACCATCGCACGATAACTCAAGGTTACTCAAGATTATCAGTGACTAGTGGCAATTTGTAAAGAATGTCGTAAGATTGTCGCACTTCCGAACAACGACCGTGCGACAATTTTAAGACCTTGTAAGATCACTAGCGACCTGTTTGATCGCAAGGAGGTTTTTGAGCAAGCTAAAAAACCTCTCTACTACTGAAATTGGATGTGGGACCTAAATAAGATAACCAGCAACTGTCAAAGATCATTTATGACCGTCATAAGACGTTTTAAAGATTGTCCACGACCAGAGGTCACTGGTGATCATGAACTGGTCTTCACTGGTAGTAAGCTCTAATGTGACTGGGGCTTTACAGCTACTATCCCACACATTGTAGTCTGGGCGCTTTTTAAATAAATTGTCATCAAAAGATAAAATTTCACCACAGGCTCATACATTTATACGAAAATAGATAAAATATATGTAACTGCTGAAATAAAGCTTTATATGAAAGAAAGCATTTACCTTTTCTTGAAGGTGATCACATTCTGTTTTGTAGTGGAGAAACTCATCCAGTAAGCTCTTCACTTTAGCATTCTCTGTATCTACATTTAGTCTTTTGTATTCATTTATTCTTCGTTCAAAGTTTTCACTAGACTGCGAGTCAACAACTTCAACCACTCTCAACAAGATAGCTTTGATTTTTGCCCACATCTTTTCATACTCTGCCTCTGACAATTTGGCATCTGCTCGATGACCAATTATCTTATTTCTGACATCTCTCAATCGAAGAAGATCAGCACCAAGGCTTTCGTCTTTTGGGTGTGGTTTAGTTTCCCAATCATGCTGTGGTTTTGGTATATTGTCTTTACACAAATTTAGTATAAGTCTTACCAAAAGAGAAATATCGAATCTCTCTAGATTTAAAACTTGACTGGAAACAAGATTATAGTCAGGTCCGTTTAGGACATGTCTTTTCAAAAGTTCCCTCAATTTATTTTGCTGCTCTAGAGATGAGAGAAAGCCTGTAATGTCTTCACTTTTTATCAAATATTTGAACACTTTAAATAACACCTCTCTTGTCAGGTCTGTGTACATAAGACTAGTTCTAATGTAATATGTTCTCTCTTCAGATGTTTCACACATGATGAATTAGAATTTAAAGTGAAATAAGTGTCTGATATACATTCTTGTCACCAAAAGTTCTGAAAAAGTTTAAATGAAACATAATTATTAGAAGATGCATGCACCAGCAACTAGTAGATATGCATTCACCCATTCAGCAATGGGGAAAATTTTAGTCTTGCTTTTGTTTATTTTTTTATTTTTTTTGCTTTAAAAAAATTATATACACTTTTACAGATTCTCTCATAAAAATAGCTTTTCTGATATACAACATGTCAAAAAGTTTTAAGGAATTAAATTAATTGATAGAGCCATGTTTGAATGTTATTTTTTTTATTTGCCTAATAACGTGTCAATGACTTGCCCATGCAGAAAATGATAGAGATATGCTAACAAAAATCGGATGCTGCCCGCCCAGCCTTCTGCCTGCCAGGAAGGAAACAAACAGGCATATTAACATCTAAAAAAATAATGTTTGAAAAAAAAAACATAATAAAGTAATACAATGTAGCAACTGGAAAATAAAGGGAGGTAAATAAATACATATATATATATATATTGGGAGGAAACATATTAATAAATTCATACATTGTAATCTCCCTTTGTAATATAAATTATAAACTTTATATAAGGGTTTTGAATGAGTCAGTGTGACCCTGACCTGAGGTAGTCCAAAACTGCGCTTTGCACATCATCTCAGTAATATAAATATTTCTATTGAATAGATTTAATTTCATTATCTATTGATGTGTCTAAAAGAAACAAAGCTGACACAAAATTTCTGAAATTGATACAAAATGATTAAGTGTAACCTTGTCCTGAGGAAGATCAAACCTGCAGTCTGCACATCATCTCATTATAGCTAACATTTCTGCAAAGTAGTTTGAATTTCCAGTCTATGCGAAAGACTTCTGAGTTTTACTGGACAGTAGGTCCTGTAAACTGAAATTTTTTACTGGACCAAACATGATTTTACTGGACCGAAAAAAACCTGATTGGTATAGCATTTTGAGTCACTTAATAAGTGTCAACAGTCAAAAAATTTGTGTACAAAAAGAAAATTATATTATCAACGAAGTGAAGTTATCGTTTTTCACCATAATCAAAATGTAAACATAAATATTGTTATACATTGTATTCAATGGATTTTGCTATTTAAACTTTAATTCCATACAGACTATATACTAGCAAAATAAGAGGGTAAATTTCAGCAAAAGTCTGGCATATGTAAACAGAATAATATATCGGTAATTTAGTGAAGTTGACAGATTATTTGTTCAATGATTTTGGTACCTTCACAGTACATTTTAATTTTTGTCAACATCTTGGACAATCTTACATATCCCTAATTCGCTGCTTAACACCAGTTGAGCACACGTGTAATTTAGCATTACTCTAAGCCTGCGGATTAAAGACGTAAATTTTTCCAATTAATACACTGACACTTTCATCTGTGTAAACAAACTAATAGCGGGTGACCTTTCACATCTGGGCCACTTATGTAATTTACGCGGCCGCTTATTGACTTTTAATTGTACTAGTTGTCGGATATTTTTATCTTACGTTGTTACATAAAAGTTTGCATTATGAGAATGCATAACAGTTGACAAGAATTGCACGAGCTTATATTGTGTAATGACAACATTTTGATATGTTTTGAATTTAGGTAAATGATCGGCCTTTGCAAAATGTTGAATGTAAGCTTTTTATAAAACCTTAATTTTTTACCGGACCGTCGGGCCGTCAATACATATATTTTTATCGGACCTTCTGATTTTTTACCGGTCAGGGCCGACGGTCCGACGGTCTTTCGGAATGACTGAATTTCCTTCCACAAGTTCAAATCAAAGGGCTGCAAGCTCTGTGGTATTTTCTGATCTTTGCAATCTAAATCATACTGACTATCTGTATGTATTTTCCTATATAGTTTTATTTTTAAATACTATAATTCATCTTACACAGCGACTGCGTTAAGATTTTTTTCTATAACAGTTTGAGATTGATACATATGGAATTTTGCATGACTAGAGTTGCATCAAAAATCATTTTTTATGCCACACTTTATCCTTGCATATCGTGGCTACTTCCTTAAAAAAGACAATTCAAAAAAAAAGTTGCCTCGACTAGGATTTGAACCTTAGGCCTCTCACACCCTAAACGAGCGCGATACCCCTGCACCACGGTGAAGTAATACGTAATATGTAGCCTAAATAAAAACAAATACATAATAATTCTAAATTGAGAATTTCCATTTCGTGTTTGTAATCCTTATTAATTTCGAGGTATTTTGTTCACGTCATAAACCTATTTAACACTGATAAAAATAATTTAGCGAAAATCTTCTCGCCAAAACGGTCCGACATGTATATATTCCACTACTCGGCAGTCAGATTTATTTGTATACTACGCCCTGGAGTATTCAGTAATCGATATAGCTAAAAATAGCATTTTCATTGATTAAAATGATATTCATCTGCAAAATTTGAGATTGTAACCTCATATTTCTATTGACTAATCTGAACTTTCAATGCACTGTAATTCGTTAAATGCCTACATTAAAAATTATTCTGTCTTTTAAATTGCTGGTTTTTTAAGCAGTTTTGAGTGAGAATTTACTTTCAATGTTAGGTCTGTTAAGGAAATTTTGTGTTTAGACCGTGGATGTTAGCTATGTATTTACTGATCTTGCGATCAGAAATACAAAAAATACAAAAACCTGACAAGAAAACCTGGTAACAGGCGGACAGACGGACAGACAAATCGGACATTCCTTACATTTGTATTCTTGATGGGTATTTTTACTGTGTAAAAAAAGTACCGCAAATACATCAAAATTCATTAAATAATAAAACAAGAAACATGGCAATGCCATGAAACCAGGTTTTCAATTATCACCATTGTAGATAAATATGTTGTATTTGAAATACAAATACAAGCAACAAACAATGTAACTATGTGCAATGTAAAACATGAATAATGTAGGAGGAATTGCCAGAGAGGAAGTGTTCACTATAATTATATTCTGTATAAGGAAAAAAAAAACAAAGGGCCATAATTAAATAAAAAATTATTCAAATCACAAAACCCCGACAATGTGCGCCAGGGCACTGGATGACAAAGCTACTGTGAAAGTTTGAACAAAATCCGTTGAGAAATGTAGGAGTTCAGCACAGAAAATTTTTTTTTCACTATATATTCTGTATAAGGAAAAATAACAAAGGGCCATAATTAGGTCAAATATTACCCAATCACAAAACCCCGATAATGTGCGCCAGGGGCACTTGAAGACAAAGCCTCTGTGAAAGTTTGGTCAAAATCTGTTGAGAAATGAATAAGTTGAGCATGGTAAAATTGTTCACTATATAATCTGTATAAGGAAAAAAAAACAAAGGGCCATTATTAGGTCAAATATTATCCAATCACAAAACCCCGATAATGTGCGCCAGGGCATTTGATAACAAAGCTTCTGTGAAAGTTTGGTCAAAATATGTTGAGAAATGTAGGAGAAGTTGCGCATGGTAAAAATTGTTCACTATATAATCTGTATAAGGAAAAAAAAACAAAGGGCCATAATTAGGTCAAATATTATACAATCACAAAACCCTGACAATATGCCCTAAGGCACTTGATGAAAAAAGCCTCTGTGAAAGTTTGGTCAAATTCCGTTGAGAAATGTAGGAGGAGTTGCGCACAGAAAATTGTTCACTTATAATATATCCTATATTGGGAAAAAAAAAACAAAGGGCCATAATTAGGTCAAATATTATCCAATCACAAAAAACCCCGGACAATTACGCGCCAGGGCACTTGATTGACAAGCCTCTGTGAAAGTTTGGTCAAAATCCATTGAGAAATGTAAGAACATTTGGGCACAGAAGAAATTATTCACTAATATATCCTATATTGTGCAAAAAAACAAAGGGCCATAATAAGGTCAAATATTATCCAATCACAAAACCCCGACAATATGCGCCAGGGCACTTGATGACAAAGCCTCTGTGAAAGTTTGGTAAAATTCATTGAGAAATGTAGGAAGAGTTGGGCACAGAAGAAATTATTCACTATATATTCTATATAAGGAAAAAAAAAAGGGCCATAATTAGGTCAAATATTATCCAATCACAAAACCCCGACAATATGCGCCAGGTCACTTGATGACAAAGCTTCTGTGAAAGTCCATTGAAAAATGTAGGAGGAGTTGCGCACAGAAGAAATTGTATATGCCAGCCCGCCCGCCGACATACCTCAATCTAATAACCAGTTTTTTCCTTCGGAAAACCTGGTTAAACACCCAACAATACATACGGAATGAGTAGGATTGGTAGTTTTTGGGTATTTAGTACCCAACATATACCCTCTCGACAGACATAGCGCGACTTTATGCTCACCCTTCATGAGCAAATGCATGAAACTTTAATCACAAGCATTGAAACAGGTAATGGCTCCATTGCCACCAAAACGATGAGAGCTTTCTCGTATAGTTCTGTAGATTTTGCCGGACCATATTTTACTTAACAAGGACATGGAAAAGCAAGACAAAAGCGATACTTGTGTTTGTTCACATGTCTGTCTTAGAGGGCAGTGCATTTGGAGATAGCTTTTGGATTAGATACTGACTCATTTTTTAATGCTTTCTAAAGGAATATTCCCTAGACAAAAGGGTTTTTCCCAGAAGAAAAGTTTTAAGATAAGAACAAAAATTTGTAGGTTTCTTATAATGGTTATTTTGAAATTTAACCCCGGGAAAATGGACAAACAAAAAGAGGGGGCCCTGATGGCCCCGAGGGGCGCTCACCTGTTTTATAGGGCCCCCCCCTCCCCGGGGCCCAAATTTTTTAAACCCCAAAGGGGTTTTTTTTTGTTTTTTTAAAAAGACCCCCTTTGGGAAAACATCCATAAGAAGATGTTTTATGTAAAAATCTAAGTTTAGCTATTGGGTTTTTTAAAAAAAAGATTTTTTTTAAATTTTTACTAATAACAATATAATTAAAAACAAGGAAAAATCGCAATGCGATGCAAAACCAAAGGGTTTTCAGCAAAAATATTTCAAAAGAAAACTTTTCATGCAGGTGGC